GATGAGCGGGAAGGCCACAGGTGGGCTTGACATCACCCTGGGGCTTGTGATGGGCCCCGGGAGAGTTGTGAGACATAACACCCATGTCCTACAATGTGTCCAGTCTCAGCCCAGCCATGCCCACGGCGGGCCAGGAGGCCATGCACTCTGGAGCCTGGGCTCACCTGACTGCGCCCCACACTGCCAGGGATGAGGCCTGGACACAATCCTGGTGCCACGCACCAAATCCCGACTCCTCGTCGGGGCCGGCTGCTGCTAGGAAAGAGCTTGCTGGGGAAGGAACCAGAGCAAGCCTGATAAGAGCCTCGGAGGGACCAGATAACTGGCCAGTCAGCTGACTAGACGGTCTGAACTCTGCAGGAATACACACTGGACAAAGCAGGCCCCGGCGGCTCACGCCTGTAATCCTAGCTACACAGGAGGAGCGTGGTCCCAACATAGCCTGGGCAAAAAAGTCTATGAAGCTCTTATCTCCCAACTAACCAGCAAAAAGCTCAAACTGGCAGAGTGGCTCAAGTGGCAGCCATGTCTAAAAATGCCAAGCAAGAGCCTGAGGCCCTGAATTCAAACCCTAGTACTGGCAAAATGAAGACAAAAATTTGTTAAAAACACTGGACAGCAGCATGGATGCAGAGCCGGGGGGGGGGGGAGAGGGCACGGGGGGAGGGCTATGCCTGCCCCCTCCCCATCCTGGGTGCCGGTCCCGAGGCCAGTCTCCCCCTGTGCCACGGGGGCACTTCTGGGGATCCATCATTAAACTGACTCACTGGGCAGCCCGGTACGATGAGGGCCGACAGCAGATGGGGCCCAGTGGAACAGGCAGGGTACCAGGGCGAGAGCAGCGACCTGTGCCCACCTGACACCCGTAACAGAGGAAAGACGGCATGGCGGGCAGGAGGTGCATCTGGCAGGCCCCTGGCAGCAGCAGAACTGACAGCACTCACCTCCGAGTGACAGTTCCGCTCTAGCCCAGGAGATGACAGGATGGTAAGGCGGCGGGAGACGGGTGGAGGGAGCCACCTGAGTGCATGCCCGACACACGGTGAGCCGGGCAGAGGCCTGGGCTCCTCCTGCACCAGCACTGGTGCGGTGCAGGGGAACCCAAGCACGGAGCCATGCCCTGTCACCACACCCCACATTCTGGCATATTATCCCAGCATCCCAGCCACTACGCCCAGCCTGTTCTGTTTGAACCATGATACTCCTTATTTCTGCCTCCCAAGTACCTGGAACTACAGCACAAACCACTAGTACCTCGCCAGAATATCTTTTCTGATAAAGAATACACACATACACACACACACACACACAAACACACACATACACACACACATACACACATACATACACACACACACATACACACACATACACACACATACACACACATACACATACACACATACACACACACACACACATACACACACACATACACATACACACACATACACATACACACACACACATATACACACATACACACACATACACACACGCATACACACACACATACACACATACACACACACATACACACATACACACACATACACATACACACACACATACACATACACACACATACACACACACATACACACACACATACACATACACACACATACACATACACACACATACACACACACATACACACACATACACACACACACACACACACACATACACACACAGACACACACACACACACACGATTGTATTTTTGTCCGCAAGTCTTCAGGAAAAACTTAACCGTGGAGCTAATGCTTCCTCACTGGTATATTCCAGGCCTGATTAAAAGAATGTTTCAGGGTCACACAGAGGCAGCCTACTATGTACCCCATAGAGTGGCATGGTGTAGACTAACCCTAACTAACTCTGATGTCTGCAGTCTGGGCTGTCAGCACTGACAGACACAAAAACTCGCTGGGTCTAGAGAGGATCTCGGCATCTCACACTAGCAGCATCAGAACCCAACTCAGGGCCAGGGATGGCTGGCCTGAGGGGTGGAGCGGCGGGAAGAGCAGGCTCCACCCCCAGCTCTGAGCCCACCTCCACCCTGGCTGGGCAGAGGCTGTGTTCACCAAGTCCGCTCCCCTGGCGAACCCACCCATCTGGATGTGAACTGCCATCCCGGCCCTGGCACTGTGGCTCATGTCTGGCCACGGGGTGACACACACAGAAATCTGATAGAACGCAGGCCCATGGTGGAGCCAGTGGCTGCCCTCGCCCTCTCCTTACTGTTCAGCATGGTTCAGCCTCATGGGATGTGCCAAGATGTCCCTGAGGGGCTGGGAAGGTGGCTCAGTGGTAGAGCGCTTGCCTTGCATGCCTGAGGCTCTGGGTTCGATTCCTCAGCACCACATAAGTAGTAAAAGTCGGAAGTGGCACTGTAGCTCAAATGGTAGAGCGCTAGCCTTGAGCTGAAGAGCTGAGGGACAG